TCAAGAACAACAAATGCAACAAATGCAACAAATAGCTCAAGAATAAAAAAAATATTTTTTTTTATTTTTATAAAAATGTACAGAATAGATGTTTCAGATTTTTATGACTTCCAAACATTCAGAAATATGTGTCCATTTCGAGACTATAACAAAGCAGTCGAGAATTTGAAACGTTTAGTCATTTATGTCGACTCTGCCCCAGAATGTTATGTTATGAAAGAATGGGATGTTGTCTTTAACAAACCTAAAGCGACAATAGTTTCAGAACAAGAATGTAGACAGAAACTTAAGAAAATAAAAGTCGTACAAGTTGGCATGAAGATGTTAGATGCTTGGGATATCTTATTGTCAAAACTTGAAGATTTTTCAGTTCGTGGTATAAAGTTTATACACCTTCTCCAAACTTCTATTCTATCTTCACTGGATATAAATGAACAAGTAGAATGGAAAGAAAATATTATAGAAGCTTGGTTAGACCATGTCAAAGAAATTATATGCAATGGAAACGAAAAGGTCTATGAGTATATCTTATGTTGGTTTGCAAACATCTTACAACATCCAAGTGCTAAAAATGAAACTGCTCTCATTATAATTGGAAAACAAGGAACTGGTAAGAACACATTCTTTACAGATATTTTGTGCAAACTGTTAGAAGGTTATTCGAACCCGAATATGACAAACTTAGAAAACATCTGCGGTAAATTTAACTCTTCAATAGAGAATATGAAACTTATAGTATGTAACGAACTTCAAAGTATAGATACAACAAAAGTTTTGAACTCAGATGCTTTGAAGAGTCTTATAACAGACAAAGTTGGAGTTGTTGAAAGAAAATATAAAGACCAAAGAGTTTGTGAAAATGTTGCAAATTTCATTATGGTTTCAAACAATGCTGTTCCGATGAAGTTAGAAAGTTCTGACAGAAGATATGTAGTTGTCAGAACGTCAGAAGCTCATATGCAAGATACAGAATATTTTGACGACTTAGCAGAAACTTTGACATCTGACTTTTACAACCACTTGTTCTCATATTTTATGACATTAGATATTTCAAAGTTCAATCCAAGACAAATTCCACATACCGAAGAGAGACAAACATTGTTAGAAGCAAACAAGAGTGTATATGAACTGTTCATAGATGAAACTGACTTTGAGTGTTTAGATGAAAGGTCATTGTACGATTCGTATAAACAATATTGTCAAGAAGTATGGTTATATGACAGCGTCTAAACGAACATTCTTGGCAAATGTCAAAAGTCTTTTAGACGTACAGAATGGTGTATATACAAAGAAAAATTTTTCTGAGTAAATTTTAAAAAAAATATTTTTTTTATCCGATAGAAAAGATGACAAAATTCATCTCAGTAAACAAGTACATGTCAGGACTTAAAGAAGAACTAGACCCATTCACATATTTGAATGTTTACTTCTACCATTTTGAAAAGTCTTCATTCAGCAAAGTTTGGAACATCGAACCAGTTAAGTTTGCTATTGTGACTAAAAATGGTGCGAAATTTTGAAGACTTAGACATAGAAGGTTTGTTAACAGTCAAAGAAAGTTTTGACAGAAGGTTCTCAAACCTTAAAAGGCAAAGCATACAAACTTGTTATACCTTATGAACCAAAGAAAGCAGACGACTATGAATATTATGAGTCTAAGATAGTTGAAGTTCAAGGTAAATTGGGTAAAAAGATTTTAGGAGTCTAAGCCAGTGTGTGCTCCTAAAGAGGAAGAGAACATTGACATTGACCCAGAAATGTTCTAAAAATAAAATTTTATTTTTACATGTCAAATTTCTTTTTCTCTGGTTCTGGTTCTTTCTTCTCTTCTTCTACTTCTTTTCTTTCTTTTCTCCTTCTTCTTTTCTGTGGAGTTATGTCAAATTTCTCAGAACCATATTTTTGTAAAAGTTCTTTGTCCTTTAATAGCTCTTCTATTCTGTTTTCTATTCATCTTCAAGAACACCGCATGTGTCTTCTTTGCATTCTAAGAACTTTTGTTGGACTTCATCTCTCCAAGAGGCGTCATCTCTGTCAACAAGTCTGTCATTGACAAATTTTAAGACTGCTCTGCTTAATGTTTTATGGTTCTTGTCATATTCCCAGAAACAGAACTTTAGAACAAATTCACCTTTCTTGTTTACACTATGTAAGATTTTATGGTCGACAGATGTTTTGCTGTCGAAAAGCTTGTCTCGAATATAGATAGCGAAATCGCTAGACATTTCTAAAAGATAAAAATTTTAATTTTTCTAAAAATATGTTAGAAAAAAAGTTTGCTGACATTGACAAGAAATTTGAGAATGTTTTAAACAAGAACAAGAGGAAGTTAGAAAATGCTCAGATAAAACCCATACATGACAAGTTCTTATTTGCTCAGAATGGTATAACAGGTCTAATTGCACCGCCTGGGGGGTAAGACTTTCACTTATCTTAAAATGGCTGCACAACAACAAGAACTAGATGAGAAGAACCCATTCTATGAGTTAGTTGTCATTTGTAGTACTTCGGGTCAATTTGACCAAACCGTCAATTCGTTCAAAGATATTATAAAGAAGTCTAAGTAGTATGTATAAAAGACTCTGAGTTGTTAGATTGGATAAAGAAGTACCAAAGAAGAGTTTTGAAGTACAATGCTATAAATGAGTATGTCAATTCTAAGTTTAAAGACCCAAATGAGGAAATGCAGAGAATATTAGAGAAGAAACACTTCAGAAACAAACAGAAAGAGATAGAATACATTTCGAAGAAATTGCAATCTTACGATTGGAAGACATACCCTCATAGTGTCTTCTTATCTTAGATGACTTTGCTTCTCATCCTTTGTTAAAGAATAGAGAACAAGACATGTGTCGAATTCTTAAGAAGCTCAGACACTTTAACATCTCTGTTGTCATTTGTGTACAGACAGCCAAGAGTTTAAGTAAGGATGTAAAGAGAATACTTACTGACATTGTACTTTTCCCCGGATTGTCCGAAGACGATTTCATGGAACTTATGAAAGAGTCCATGGCAGGTAAGTGACAGACATGAACTATGGGAGAAGTACAAAGTCATACAAGACCCTCATACTTCTTTCAGAATTCATATCTACGCAAACAAAGTTCAAATTGTAAAAAGTCAAGCGTAAAAAAATGTAAGTGTTTTAGTCTTAGTCTGTTGTGGTGCTGGGGCTTTCGGTTCTTCTGGCTTTGGAATGGATTCGGTTGGTGGTACGTCGGACATTCGTTTGTGTCCTGTCGGAAGGAAGAGTTCTTCCTGTCGGAAGGAAAATTTTTTCCTGTCGGAAGGAAGAGTTCTTCCTGTTGGAAGGAAAATTTTTTCCTGTCGGAAGGAAAATTTTTTCCTGTCGGAAGGAAAAATTTTTCCTGAAGTTCGACCAAAAAGTTCTCAATTTTCGAAAATTTGAATGGTTTTACGGACGGACAACTGGAAAAATTTTTCCTGTTGGAAGGAAAATTTTTTCCTGTTGGAAGGAAAATTTTTTCCTGTCGGAAGGAAGAGTTCTTCCTGTCGGAAGGAAAATTTTTTCCTGTCGGAAGGAAGGACTCGGAATGCCAGAAGGATTTGACAAGGCAATTTACCTTATAGAGCTACCTGAGCCATCTGAAGTCAAGACCAAAAATAAACGCTTTACATGTATTTTTCAGCAACTTCGTCAAATAATTTTATAGCTTTATCTATCTCATCTACTTCAAACGTTTCTTTACCTTTCGTGGGAGCACCATACATTTTCTCAAACTTTTCAAGTAGTTCTGTTTCTGCAGCTCTCATATCGTTAACAAACACAACCTTGACTCTATGACTGTATCTGTCATATCTTTGAGTTATATTATATGTTCTTCCTATCTTATATCTCTTTGTATTGAAGTCCTTCGGTTTCTGAACGATGTAAAGTAAGCCTTCACTGCAACGTTCCGTATCGAATGAACCATGTGTTATGAAGTTATATCCAACAACTGGGTCTAACCATAACAAAACTATTGGTATAAGACTTTTGTCTATAAGATATGCTGTAGTTCCACAGAATCTTACCGATATCATAAGCTCAGGATTTCTTGTCAAAATTTTCTGAGTTGAAGCAATTCCAACCCAATGGTATGTTTTCTTTCCAGATGGAGATAAAATGTCTGACAAAGAATATTTGTTGTATTTCTTTGAGTATCTTACGTTTAAATCACCAATTCTAACCATTTTGGTGTCATTGTCTATCTTTCTAACTGTTTCAAACTCAACCTTTAACATTTTCTGTCCTTACATACAAAATAAAAAATATTTTTTTAAAAAAACTAACGTTATTTTTTTATTTTGTATAAAAGATATGATTTCAGGGATTTTTTTGACGAAGTGCAAAAGTTCACTTCGTCAAAAATAACAGTTATATAATGAAATTTGGTCATTTTTTCACGATTTTCATAGAGTTTTAGGCGAGTAAGATTTTTTATTTTGTATAAAAGATATGATTTCAGGGATTTTTTGACGAAGTGCAAAAGTTCACTTCGTCAAAAATAACAGTTATATAATGAAATTTGGTCATTTTTTTTTCATGTCAGAAGACTCGAAGGTGCAACACTTCCAAAATACCGACGAACTCAGAAGAGCAGCATGGCAGTATGTTCTTGACAACTTCTTTGAGTTCTCCAGGTACACCTTGGAAAATGCTGAAGAACTCCGACACAGAGAATTTGGAGAAATTGCGCTCCAATACTACCTTGACAAACAAAGGGTAAAATAAGACTAAAAACTTAACGTTTAAAAAGTGACATTTTTAATGAGCTCCGAGTCACCGAGAAAACTTGGTCAGATGTTAGCAGCTTACTTCCCTGAGGAGGATGGAAGCGTTACATACGTAAGGTTCAAAAACAACGAACCTGGAATTGCGTACCAAATTCGCAATTACATGACCATGGAAGAGTACGAAAGGCTCCTACAAGAGAAACCAGCTCTAAACAACTCAGAAAAGAAAGAATAAAAAGTTTAACTCGTAATTGTTTATTTTTTTACTTGTATGGGCAAGCTGCAAGAATGAAGTCGACTATCTCAGTCTTTGTCTTGACGAGCTGGACGGCTCTTGCGAGTACGTCTGTTTTGCGGTCTCCAGCTGGTGTCTGACCTTCGTAATTGCGCATGTTCTTGAGAGCTCCAACTGTAAATGGTTGTAGGATGAAGAGTCTCTCAGACTGCTTGAGGTAGTCGTCTCTGTCTTTGACCGAATCTGTGGTACGAGTCGAATCGGTCGATTTGAGGGAAGAGACTGAAAGCCTGTCGTCTTCCATTGGAGCTGTAGCATACTCTTTGCGTAAGCGGTTCAGACCTTCTTCGAAGTCTTGGTCTCTCTTCGATTGAGATTGGAATTGGAATTGCTGGGGTGGAGCTTGCTGGAACATCCAAGGGTTGGGGAAGTAAGGGCATAGGCTGAGGAGGAGGGTAGTTCGGGAAGCCTTGTGGTGGGTAGTAACATTGAGGTGGAAATTGGTAGTAATTTGGTGGAGGTACTTGCTGGAACTGAGGTTGCTGAGGAGACTGTTGTGGTTCTGCAGCTTTCGGTTTTTCTGGCTTTGGAATGGACTCGGTTGGTGGTACGTCACTCATCCGTTTGTGTCCTGTCGGAAGGAAGAACTTTTTCTGTCGGAAGGAAAAACTTTTTCTGTCGGAAGGAAAAACTTTTTCTGAATTTCGACCAAAAAGTTCTCAATTTTCGAAAATTTGAATGGTTTACGGACGGACAACTGGAAGAGTTCTTCCTGTCGTCGGGAAAAATTTTTCCCTTTGTCCGGAAAATTTTTTCCGGTTGTCGGGAAAACATTTTCCTGTCGGATGGAAGAACTTGGAATGCAAGAAAGACTTGACGAGGCAATTTACCTAATTGAAATTAACGACTGCTTAAAAGACTACTTGCGCAAGGTAATGAAGCCCAAGGTCAAGTTCATCTCTATTTCTGGAAGGTCTACACTTCAGCTCGAGACTTCGACTGGAATTCCAATTCAAATACCAGACGGGACAGCCTACGATGGCATAAAGGACGCCAAAAGAGAAGCTCTTGTTAAGTTCCTAAACAAACGTCCTTGGATAAAAATACCAAACAAGGAGAACCCCCTACCCCATATGAAATTGGCAATTCAGTCTCTCCTTCACTTCTCTGGTCAGCCGTTCTACATAACCTCAGAAGGCGACCTCCAACCAGTTCAGCAAACATCTATATGGCACGTTTAGAGTAAAAACATTTTTTTTCATTTTTTGAATGAAGCAAGTTAAATTCGTCCCACACCAAACTCAATGGACCGATGAAGAGTTTCAAGCCATCGTTGAAGACGTTGAGAACGACATAGACGGCGAACTTGAAGGAGCTCAAATCACAATTGCAACCAAAATTGCAGAAGTCAAGGAACAGATAGCTCCACTTAAAGCTACCAAAGCTACTCTTGACCTCATGGATAGTTACCGTTTAGATGTCAAGAGTGGAATAAGACAATTAAAATTAAAACTTCTAAACTACGAAGCTATACTCCAAAAGTTAGCAGAAATGAGAAGACTTTACCAGAGCTACTTACATGTAAGGGACTTACCTTCAAGCAGTCCGACCAAAGATGAATTTGTTGACATTGTCCCAATTTTGTCCGAAAGTCAGCTCAGATGTTTCGAACTGCTCCCAACATATCCAGAATATGAACGTTTGCCTGAACTTTTCCGCAATCTCAAAAAACGTTTTTTGGTTCTCATGTTCGAAACTTTTATCGGAAGAGACAACAAACGTTCAGAAGAAGAACAAGATATTATTTTAAACTTGTTGTATGACATAACTGTCATAACAAGCTTTTTGAAGTAAAACCGCCATTCTCAAACCACTTCATTTTTTCGATGTCCGAACAAGCACCGAAGCCAAACTCAATGGCAGATGTCCTTTCAAGGTTGCCAGACAAACGCCCAGTTCAAATTCAAATTGCCCAATTGAACGCTCATCTGACAAACACCATTAAGACTCTCCAAAGTAGTCTTATGGAAGAGATAACCAATCTCAAAGTCGAAGTCCTCACGAACCAAGCTTCCAATAAGAAAGTCCTGAACGATTTCGCGGAAACCTTGCGCCAATACAACATAGAGAACCAAAACCTTGCCAGACTCATCTACCGTTTCTTCGAAGAGATAGACGCCATCTGGAAGGTACTCGGAAAGGACAGAACATGCAACACCGTACTTCGTGAACACAGAATTGAAGAAGGAATTTTCGAGGAAGAAGAGGAAGAAAAGAAACACGAAGAAGAAGAGGAAGAAGAGAAACACGAAGAAAAGGAAGTTTGGGCAACCCTTGTTGTCAACCCCACTACTTTTTTTTTTTTTAGTGGGGCCTCCAGGCACTTCGTGCCCTCTAGCCCTGAAGATGTTTAGTATAACTTTGTCCGGACAAGTAAGGGTCTATCGTCGCTACAGGAAAAGTTACGGGCGTTCCAAGGAAGTATACTTTGAGAAGCCTTTTCTGTCACTTTTCAGGAAAAAACATTTTTATTATTATATATAAATGAATTTTACAAAACCACCGTTACCCTTCTTTGGAAATAAGAGTAAATGTAAAGATATTATATTGAGAGAACTTAAGAAACTACCGAATGGTCTAACATTTGTAGATTTGTTCGGTGGAAGTTTCTATATATCCCATTTGTGCCATACAATATTCCCAGACTCAAAGATTATATGCAATGACTTCGACAACTATATGGACCGTCTCAAACATATACCAGACACAAACAATATATTGAAAGAGTTAAAAGAAAAGATACCTATAGGTAAGATGGAACGTATACCATTAGATAAGAAAAATATTGTGAGAGAGGTTTTGAAAAAAGCAGAATATATAGACTGGGATAGTATATCTGCTAGACTATTATATAGTGGTTCTATAAGAGTTCATGACATTGAAACACTTATGTCAAACGTTTTATATCTTAACTATACAAATGTTTTCAAAGAGGACATAGAAAAATATATTGAGGGTATAGAGTTTGTGAGATGTCATTGGACAGAGTTGTATGAAAAATATAAAGACAAGGAAAATGTTTTCTTTATAGTGGACCCGCCGTTCTATAACACATGCGATTTTCAATACCAAGTAGACTGGACTTTGAGAGACTCTTTAGAAACTTTAGACGTTTTACATAACTGTCCATGCTTTTACTTTACATCCGATAAAAGTGGTTTGGAAACCGTTATGAGATGGTTAGAGGACATACATGCCTATGAGTTTAGATATGACAAGATAGAATATGAGAGAGGTCCTATAAACCGGAGAAAGTGTCATAACAAAGAAATTTTACTAGTAAGTAAATGTGGTTTGAAATAGGACTACTTGTTTTAGGTTTTTTCCATTGTGTCATCTATTTATTTGACGTGGCAGAAAAATACAGAGAATATGAAGATGAACCAATGCCTGCAAATGTTCAGTATATGTACTCGTAAGAGATATTTTTATCTAATATTAAATGGACGCACAGAACTTAGCGAATGCACAGCAACCTGGACAACCAAACCCAGAGAATATTCCAAATGAAGTTAGAATACAAACTGCAATGGCAAACTATGGTCAAGTGCCAACAGATGTACAAATGCAAACTGCCATGTCAAATGACGCTGCGTTAGGTTTGCCACCATGGTATGCAAATATGAGATGGAAAGAGTTTTATACAAACCCCGAAGTGGGATATAAACAACTTTATGCAGATGACGCGAACACAGGAGTTGACCCAGAATATGTTTTCTACCAGAGGAGAAACAGAATGTATGAGCTCCAGTTAAAGAATGCTATGGAACTCAACAGGAAACGTAAGAGACTAGGTGGACATTAGATTTTTACATATAGTAAAATGGGTTTCTTTGGAAGAATAGGAAACTTCTTTCGAAATGTTGGAAGAGGTATATGGAATGGAATAAAAACCGTAGGAAGAGGAATTTGGAACGGAGTCAAAAATATTGGTAAAAGAGTAGGTCAGTTTGTTGGTATTATACCTAAAGACCCTGAACCAGAAGAACAAGCTCCTGTTATACAACAGCCTGAACCTGCACCACAGTCTAGTTGGCAACCAAATCCAACACCTCAACCGTATTAAAAATTATATTTTTACCGTTCGATAGTAGTTGTATATGAAACTAAGTTCTAAGTAAAACGCATGGTATAATGGAATTATTCTTTTTCTTCCATCTGTTGTAAACCATATTTGAAAGTCTGAAATACTTCCACTCGGCGGTTCATATAGCTTTGTAGGTTTTTCGTAAAAGTCATTTGCCAAGCATAAAAAAGAGTTTTGCGCACCAGAAAATGAAGCATGAACGATAATAGCATCTGAGTCGAAAACATTTTCATATGTTCCATTAGGGTTTTCGACTTCATAAAAGTCCGGGTGTACTGGATATTCTGCAGGCTGATTTAACATCCTCATAAATCTATACCATGCCAAGTTGTTATATTTTGTAGAAATATAAACGTTTTCTCCAAGGTCTTCTATTCTATTGATTTTAACAGTTGCATTTTTCCTGTCATATATAATATCGAGATGGTACTCTCCTTCGTCAATGTTATACTGCTTTGCATATTCGATATAGATGTCGTTTATTTTTTCTTGAAAAGCTTGAAGAGTTGTTTCTAAGTTTACAAGCAAATTCACTTGTAAAAGTTTTCCCTGTTCAAATTTCTCATACATACGTTTTTCTTTGTTATAGTATCGAACTTCAAAACCGACCGTAAATGGGAAACCATGTATGGCTTCTGAAATGAACTTCATTCTACGAAAGCCAATAGCTTTTGTGACGGATGGGTCTCTTAACCATCTTAACGGGTAGTCAAAACGATAGCCTTCATGCTTTACGGTCTCTGTCTCAAACTTTTGACCGACATTAGTAAAAAGTTCATCTAATGGTTTAGTTGTAGCAACTCTTGAATTTTCTTTTTCTATTGAAAGCATATTTTATCTAGAATAAAAATGTCAAATGAAACAGCGTCTATGAGAGAAATACAACACAACCGACAACTCATTATACAAGCTCTAAATAAGAACACAACAAACTTTTCAAACTATTCTAAGATATCTGAGTCATTGAAAGAAGGAAACTTTAAAACTGACATTAAACCCAATGACAGATGAGTTTCTGTTTCAAGACAAGAAGAACCATACTGTTTGTATAAATCCAACAAAAGGAACTTTAAACGAGAAACCTATATCTGAACTTCTTTTGAAAGCAGATGTTGACAACAAAGCAGACAAAACATATGTAGACGATGCAATAGCAAAAGAAGAAGAAAGAGCTGACAAAGCTTATGCAACAAAGAACATACTCATCCTGAACTAGCAGACAAAACATATGTTGACAATAAAATGTCAAGTGAAGTGACAAGAGCTGAAAACGAATATTCTAAAAAGACTCATATACATTCTATATCTGATATTACAAACTTACAAGAAACCTTAAACAGTAAAAGTGCCGTTGGACATACACATACCATTGCAAATATTACAAACTTACAAGAAACCTTAAACAGGAAAAGTGACGTTGGACATACACATACCATTGCAAATATTACAAACTTACAAGAAACCTTAAACAGGAAAAGTGACGTTGGACATACACATACAAGTTTTACAACTGTTGCTATAGAAAGTATTGAAGGAACGGTTGAAGAAACTGGTGGGGATGTATTATATTGGAAACCTCCTAACTTTCCACAAGGTTTAACATCGGATGACGACATAACGACGATGAAAAACATTAGATGTAAAGATGTTTATGTCATGAAGGATGAACATAATATTAAATTCACTGCTCAAGATTTATATGACAAGAAAGCAGACAAAACAGAGCTTCAAACATTAAAGACAGAAATACTTCAAACATTATATCCTATAGGCTCTATTTATACGTCAATGAACTCTACCAGACCAGAAACAGTTCTGGGTTTTGGAACTTGGACTCAAATAGTCGACAGGTTTTTGTATTGTGCAAACTCTTCAAAGGAAACAGGTGGAAGTAAAACGATTTCAGGTGAAAATTTACCTGCACACAGTCACTACATAGATTTAAGTACATCTCAAGCAGGTTGGCATAGTCATAGATATTGGAATTGGTCAGCAATGACAAAAGGTAAAGGATATGATGTTAAAGACAACGTTCAGTTTGCTATAAATTGTTACTGGAGTAACACTGAGGGAGGAGGAAACCATACACATCGCGTTTCAGGATATACACAAACAACGGGACAAAGTAAAGACTACATGCCACCTTACATGACAGTTTACGCATGGTATAGAAATGCTTAGTCGTCATGTTCCACTTCTTTAGCATATTCGTCAGGAGTTGTCTTATATTGGTTAGGAACTGTCTTTGAAAGTATACCACCTTGAACTTTGACAAGTTTGAAACGAGGTCTGACAATAGTAGTTTTATCTTCTGCTTGCAGTCTGTACATTTTGCCATGTTTGCCTAAAACTTCATAATATTCTCTTGTATACTTTCTTCTATTTTTACGAACACGAATGTGAGTACCTGTCGGGTTCCCATTGTTGTCATAGTCAATAGTATTTTCATATGGGTCGCGTTTAGGTATTTCTATTTTTACTTTGTCACCTTTCTTAAGTTTGAAGCCCGGCATTCTTTCTTGTTTGTCTCTTTTGACTAAATTATTAAATATATAGTCTTTCTCTAAGTCAGGGTTGTTTTTCATTTCTTCGGGGGAGTGGTTTCCCAAACCTTTTTGTTTACGGCTATTGTAAATATTTAAAACTTGTCTCATCTTTGCCATGGAGAAGTGTCTATATTTGTCGTCATATGACATTTCATTTGCTTCACCACCTTGTGGTTGGTTTAAGTCTCTTAACATTTTTATACAACCGTCAATGACACCAAGAGCAGAATGGTTTTGGTCGACAATGAAATATTGGTTTACATTTTTTGAACGCAGATAGTTTTTTACATCGTCTGATTTGAAAGAACTTTCACAGTCAGATGTCAGTTTTGTTGGATGGTATTTGTCAACGAATATTGTCAAAGCAGTTTTCACATCTAAAATATTTTTGGACCATAATGGTATGGCTTCACAGTATCTTGTGTTTTGACCGACAAATATTAGCCAGTATGGTGGTCCATCTGTTCTAACTCTCGGAATGTTTTCCAAGATATCCATAAACCAAGCATTTGGTGTTGAACTAAAGATTTTTACCATGAGTGCTTTCTTTGTCGCTTTAGAAACATAGGGGTCCTTGTTTGGATTCGTCATTTTTTAACCCATAAGAAATGGGTTTATTTGGCGCGTTAGCAGGAGTTGCATCCAGATTTTTGCCCGCAGTGGGAACAATAGCCAGAGGTGTATTTGGAGTTGGAAGGAAGATTTTGAGTACATTAGGTATACTTAAAGAGAAAGCACAACCTATTATACAAACTGTACAGAAAGGTTGGGATGTAGCACGAGATGCAACAAATCTTATTCCAAATCCTGAAACAAGAGGAAAAGTTCAAGGATGGATGGACAATGTAGGAAGACAAGCAGGAAACTATTATAACAAAGCAAATGACTACTATAACCAAGCAGGACACTATATGGACCAAGGTGAAAGATTCTTTAACAGAGGATATAACCATGCACAACAATGGGTAAACAATAACCAACCTCAACCGCCTCAAACGTGGGGAATGTAAAGTTTTTTACTGAGATGAAATGAACAATACAGCATTGAGACAAATGGGTTCAAGATGGATTTGTCGACTTCCAGCAGTTACACAACGTGTTTGTCAAGTTCTTCCTATACCTCAGGAAGTTTTAGACCGACTTAAAAAACCTAAACAACCAGTTGAAAACAAACCAAACTAAAATTTTTTACTGAGATGAAATGACCGAAGAAGTTGAAACGGTAGATTTGACACCACAAACAAAAAGTTCAGAACCATTGTCAAAACCTGTCAAAGAACTTACAGATGAAGAGAAAAATTCAATAATAGAAAGTGCCAGGTCTGGAAATACAAACTCTAACTACAAAGTCACTTTTCATAAAAATGGAACGGCTAGTATCTCAAAAAGAAACAGACTCTCACAAATAAATATTGAAGTCTGAAGGAGCTTTCGAGACAACAGATGGAAAAGTTTACTTCACTGACCAACAGTTCATTATAGAACATCTCATTGACTTAGAGTCGAAATATTCTAAACTTTACAACAAACACAAAAAGTTGAAAGGAAAACAAAAACAAATGGCATATGATATTTATGAAGATGTTGACGACACAACTGTTCCTGCAGGTGAGGTAAAGTCAAAGGAACCGAAAAGTGACGAAAAACAGATAGAAGAAGAGAAACCAAAAACTGAAGATAAACCAAAACCAAAGTTTAGTTTGGAAACTAAACCAAGTCAACCTTCATTAGCTGGTATGGGTTGGCGTCAAAGACTTATGGCAGCAGGCGGTTATGTAAAGTAAAGAGAAAAAAATATTTTTTTATTTTTATAAAAATGCCCCCATATAGAATGGATAGAAAATCTGCTAGAATAAAACCAGAGTTGCAAAGATATGGTTGGAGAGTTTCGAAGAATTTTAAATATAGGAAGGGAAGACCCATAAAAGTCTATGACAAATTGTCTGGTCTTCGCTACGAAATGGATTTGGAAACAGCACGTGCAAATTATCCAAACAGACTAGAGAGGTTAGAAGAAGAACGTCTTATGGACATGCCTTTCGATGTTAGTGAACCTCAAGTTGAGGGACACGACGGCTTTGCCAGATTCTACTGGAAACATGACGAACAATTGCATCCTTTGAGAAGGAAAAAAGGAAAAGGTGAAGACACACATGCTCCCATGGAAAGAACAAGATATGCATATGAAAAGTACCGTGAAGTTAGAAGTCAAATTACTTCTGGTCGAACCTTTACAGTAAACTTTGACGAAGGAAAGAACAAAGAAGGCTTCATGGGTGTACTTGCTGCCATACAAGACGGAAATAAGAAAGGATACAATCTCAGATTGACCATAACAGATTTGGATGGTCACATTTACTATGCACATGGCAATGTCACAACAGCCGCACAACTTCTTGACGCTTTCAAGACTACAAAGAGAGAACAAATGTTTGACTCCGACTCAGACATTTTGAATGCAATTGAAGGAATTGCAAGTGTCAAGTTCGAATGGTACCAACCTAACCCTCAAGCAGTCAGACAACATGTTTGTTAGATGAGAAATATGAAATGGCATACCATTTTAAAACATATATTTTTACATATATTAAATGCTTCAGGTTGAAAAACAAAGAACAAAAGTAGCAGATACAAAACCGTTAGACTATATCTTTACAAATGCTGGTAGGACTATTTCAGATGAAGAAATTTCATCCCGAGTATACAGGTTTGACTATCCAGTTCGTTGGCTTCAAAGTCCTTCAGATGCAAAGGCAATAGGATTTAGAAGAGTTTTGTTTTCAAATAGCTAACTCATTTATGTTCGCAGTATATTTTCATGGGCAGTATTTCTGATGGTCTAATAGACAAATTTGACGAAATGAGAATCTTTACAGTTCGTTCAGACGAAAGTCTTGAGAAAACTCTAAATGACTTTCAAACTCAAATGAACAAATACTATTGGGAATTTCAAGAAAAATACGACTCTTTACTAAATGGAACATACTATCTGAAACTAGAATATGACAAGATGAACTCCACCGTTTCATTTCAAAAGATTGAAATTAACCCTCCAAGAGATACAGAGTTTTTATTTTGGAAAGTAGACAAACGTTCTTGGGCACAATTTCTTCGGTTACTAAACCAGAACGAACCATTACCACCAGATGGTCCATTTAAATTTATACTTCCACCAGCAGATTTGATGGTTTATAGAAACGTGTTTGACCCTCAAAATGTTATGTGTCATGCAAGTTTCAGTTCAAGCAACAATAGTTTTCTATGTATTGGTAAGGACTTTTATGACTTTGCTTCTAAATTCTACGAACCACCTAGTAACAGTTTCTCTGACTTTCAAGTTTGGTTCACAACAAATGGTGTGCAACATATTATTCCATTGTACTATGACTTTTATCTCGAATTGTCTTTCATATACAACTACGGAAAAGTGCTGAAAAAGTATTGAAAAATATATTTTAGGGTAGATGGTTTTTAGGTGTCACCAGGTCCCCAGGTCCCTCGGTCCCTCGGTCATTTTAACTTCTCTGAAAAAGTGTGACAACATGACATTTTGACAACAGTCCAGGAAATAAACTTCTTCTTCGTAAATGTTTTGTCATGACTTCTTCGTAAATGTTTTGTCATGACTTCTTCGTAAATGTTTTGTCATGACTTCATCGTACATGTTTTGTCAAGACTTCATCGTACATGTTTTGTCATGACTTCATCGTAAATGTTTTGAAGAACTGAAGGTGTCACCAGGTCCCTCGGTCCCTCGGTCATTTTAACTTCTCTGAAAAAGTGTGACAACATGACATTTTGACAACAGTCCAGGAAATAAACTTCTTCATCGTACATGTTTTGTCATGACTTCTTCGTATATGTTTTTGTCATGACTTCATCGTAAATGTTTTGAAGAACTGAAGGTGTCACCAGGTCCCTCGGTCCCTCGGTCCCTCGGTCATTTTAACTTCTCTGAAAAAGTGTGACAACATGACATTTTGACAACAGTCCAGGAAATAAACTTCTTCATCGTACATGTTTTGTCATGACTTCTTCGTATATGTTTTTGTCATGACTTCATCGTAAATGTTTTGAAGAACTGAAGGTGTCACCAGGTCCCTCGGTCCCTCGGTCCCTCGGTCATTTTAACTTCTCTGAAAAAGTGTGACAACATGACATTTTGACAACAGTCCAGGAAATAAACTTCATCGTAAATGTTTTGTCATGAATTTTCCCGAAATAAAAAATATAGTTGGTTTTTTTAAAAAAATATTTTTTATTTTTATTGTAAGAACTGAAATGACAGTCGAAGCAAAAACGTTCACGAACAAATCTAATGGCGAAACATTCACAAAAGGCACCTATAACGGTATTGAAGTCTTACGTAGAGACAAGGATGGTTATATAAATGTAACAAAGATGTGTCAGCAGTTTAGGAAAGACTTTAGAAAGTTGTTGGAAAATAAGTCCTGGGAAGAGTATTATAAGGCATTTTGTGAAGAATATAGCAACCGCCGGAATTCCGGCGGTTGGTTTTTATACAAAATTCATGCAGGAATTCCTGATGAAATCAAACAGGTTAGAGGAACGTATGTAGACCCAAGACTTATAAACTATATAGCAATGTGGGCTTCTCCAAAATATTGTATAGCAGTTGGAAAAATTATGGACTCCATAGACAAGAAAGTTCATGAGAAATTAGATGAAGAAGAACTTGAAGATACAGTAGAGAATGCTAAACCTTTGTTCGAACAAGAAGTTAGAAAAAAGTGCGAAAAACAAATAGAACATGAACATGAGATGTGTTATGGTTATAGAGATTCTCCATACGAACTAGACCAATGGGAACAAGAAGATTTAAAGAGAGAATTTAGAGAATATGAACTCGCTAAGATAGCATTAGAAGCTGCAGAAAAGAAGTTAAAAGTTTGGGGTCGTTTTGTACAAAAATATTGTGAGTAAATGAACCATTTATTTTTATTGAATTCGGCAAAAATATATTTTAGGGTAGATGGTTTTTAGGTGTCACCAGGTCCCTCGGTCCCTCGGTTAAACGAACTTCTCTGAAAAAATGAGACAACATGACATTTTGACAACAACACAGGAGGAAGGCAGTTATGACTTCATCGTAAATGTTTTGTCATGACTTCTTCGTAAATGTTTTGTCATGACTTCATCGTACATGTTTTGTCATGACTTCATCGTAAATGTTTTGTCATGACTTCATCGTAAATGTTTTGAAGAACTGAAGGTGTCACCAGGTCCCTCGGTCCCTCGGTCATTTTAACTTCTCTGAAAAAGTGTGACAACATGACATTTTGACAACAGTCCAGGAAATAAACTTCTTCTTCGTAAATGTTTTGTCATGACTTCTTCGTATATGTTTTGTCATGACTTCATCTTCGTATTCTTTCACCCGTTGAATTTTGTATAAAAAGCAACCGTCGAAATTCTGGCGGTTGGTATATTCTTCACAAAATGCTTGTTTTGAGGTCGAGCCACTTTTTGGCTCCACCGTATTTTTCAACCAAAACTCATGAATTTTCCCGAAATAAAAAAAGTTAGTTTTTTTAAAAAAATATTTTTTATTTTTATTGTAAGAACATGTTAGCAACAACAGCACCAAACTCGTTAGTCATGAACCCAACATCTATGTTAGTAGAGATGAAAAGCTTCATTCCTTCTTCATATACTTTTGAAACAGAAATCCAGAAGATAAAGCAGGAACTTTTAACAAGTACTTTGGACTGTAGTGCGAAAGATGAAACAAATGAACAGTATCTTTATGAAATGCAGGACATTATTGACCATTTGCCTAAACTACCTGAAATCCAACAACAAAAACTCACTATTCCTGAATTCGACGAAATTGAAGTCAAAGCAACTGACTCAGTAGAAATAAAGAAGTTCATACGAAAGGTAAACTATGAATTCCTTGATTTTCATTGCAACCACAAAGTCATGGACAAAGACTGCGATATGGTATATTTCATGGACATATATAAATCTGAAGAATTTAAGACCTACGACAACTTTGTTTCGTTAGTTGCAAAATGTGTATGGCAGATAAGAGATAAAGATAGAAGAGGTAAAGTATGGAACGAACAGATAAAACCCGCAACTTTTGAGTTAAAGAAAACCATTTACGCCTTAGTTGTTTTAGCAGGTAAGGTTTCAATGTACAATGCTAAAATGAACCCACAATGTTCAAAATGTAAAGCAGCAATGAAGAAATATAACTACTCCGTCAAAGAGATAGAACGTATGAGAAACGACTATGCTGACTTAAAGAAAGAAGCAGAGAAACCAGCAGAAGATAAAATGGACATGTTGACATTTCTGAACAAAAACTATCCAACTGCTGACGATTTCCTTCTATCTGACGTCAAGAAGAAATATAAAGAAACATTCGGCATTGTGAAAACTTTTGACATACTGACAGAAGAAATCGAAGCTACGAAATTGTTTAGGATTTCAAATATACATCGTACAATTCATGTAAGACGCTTGTGAAACTTTATGGTAGAAATATATTTTTGCTGAGTAAAATGACCAAATTTCATTATATAACTGTTATTTTTGACGAAGAGAACTTTGACACTTCGTCAAAAAAAATCCCTGAAGTCTTGACAAAACATATACGAAGAAGTCTTGACAAAGCATATACGATGAAGTCATGACAAAACATATACGATGAAGTTTATTTCCTGTGTTGTTGTCAAAATGTCATGTTGTCACCATTTTCAAAAAGATGTTAGTTGACCTGGTAGCACATGGTAACATGGTAGCACCTACAGTTTATTTTAGGGTAGATGGTTTTTGGTCACCAGTCCCCAGGTCCCTCGGTCCTCGGTCATTTTAACTTCTCTGAAAAAGTGTGACAACATGACATTTTGACAAACAGTCCAGGAAATAAACTTCTTCTTCGTAAATGTTTTGTCATGACTTCTTCGTAAATGTTTTGTCATGACTTCTTCGTAAATGTTTTGTCATGACTTCATCGTACATGTTTTGTCAAGACTTCATCGTACATGTTTTGTCATGACTTCATCGTAATGTTTTGAAGAACTGAAGGTGTACCAGGTCCCTCGGTCCCTCGGTCATTTTAACTTCTCTGAAAAAGTGTGACAACATGACATTTTGACAACAGTCCAGGAAATAAACTTCTTCATCGTACATGTTTTGTCATGACTTCTTCGTATATGTTTTTGTCATGACTTCATCGTAAATGTTTTGAAGAACTGAAGGTGTCACCAGGTCCCTCGGTCCCTCGGTCCCTCGGTCATTTTAACTTCTCTGAAAAAGTGTGACAACATGACATTTTGACAACAGTCCAGGAAATAAACTTCTTCATCGTACATGTTTTGTCATGACTTCTTCGTATATGTTTTTGTCATGACTTTCATCGTAAATGTTTTGAAGAACTGAAGGTGTCACCAGCGTCCTCGGTCCTCGGTCCCTGGTCATTTTAACTTCTCTGAAAAGTGTGACAACATGACATTTTGACAACAGTCCAGGAAATAAACTTCATCGTAAATGTTTTGTCATGAATTTTTCCCGAATAAAAAATATAGTTGGTTTTTTTAAAAAAAAATATTTTTTTTTTTACTTGTAAGAATGAAATGACAGTCAACTCCACCGTTTCATTTCAAAAGATTGAAATTAACCCTCCAAGAGATACAGAGTTTTTATTTTGGGAAGTAGACAAACGTTCTTGGGCACAATTTCTTCGGTTACTAAACCAGAACGAACCATTACCACCAGATGGTCCATTTAAATTTATACTTCCACCAACAGATTTGATGGTTTATAGAAACGTGTTTGACCCTCAAAATGTTATGTGTCATGCAAGTTTCAGTTCAAGCAACAATAGTTTTCTATGTATTGGTAAGGACTTTTATGACTTTGCTTCTAAATTCTACGAACCACCTAGTAACAGTTTCTCTGACTTTCAAGTTTGGTTCACAACAAATGGTGTGCAACATATTATTCCATTGTACTATGACTTTTATCTCGAATTATCTTTCATATATAACTACGGAAAAGTGCTGAAAAAGTATTGAAAAATAATGTTTATGTTAGCATGTTAGATCTAACACGTTTTCTAACCACTTTTCTAACATCGTAGAAAACTCATGAAAACAATTTATTTTTGACACTTTCACAAAAAACATTAAAAAAGTGAGTTAAAATGAGATGTTTACTGAGAAAGTTGTTCCCGGACCAAAAATATAATTTAGGTGAACGGGTGAGATTTCACCCGTTTTTTCACCTGTTTTTTCACCCTCTTGAATTTTCATGAATTTTATATATTAATGTTTTCGTTATGCCACTTTGTGCCGTCAGTCAATCAGTCAGTCAATGAAATTTACACCAAAAATAATGTTTAGGTGAAGAGGTGAGATCTGACACGTTTTCTAACCTCATTTCTAACATGGTCTAAAACTCTCGAAAATCTTGAATTTTGTATAAAAAGCAACCGCCGGAATTCAGACTGTTGCTATATTCTTCACAAAATGCTTGTTTTGAGGTCGAGCCACTTTTGGCTCCACCGTATTCTTTCAACCAAAACTCATGAATTCAGCAAAAATAATGTTTAGGTGAAGAGGTGAGATCTCACCCGTTTTTTCACCTGTTTTCTAACATCGTAGAAAACACACAAAACTCAAGAATTTTATACAGAATTTCCTTAAGATAGAAAAAATAAAGTTAGTTTTATTTTATTTATTTTTTTTATTTTGTATAAAAGATATGATTTCAGGGATTTTTTTGACGAAGTGTCAACCTTCACTTCGTCAAAAATAACAGTTATATAATGAAAAAGTGAAAGTTATTCTTCATTTTTTTGTATTTGACGAGAATGTCGGGTAGATGGTTAGATCTAACCTCATTTCTAACCTCATTTCTAACATGGTCTAAAACTCTCGAAAATCATGAATTTCCTTAAGATAGAAAAAATAATGTTTATGTTAGAATGTTAGATCTAACCTCATTTCTAACATTTTTTCTAACATGGTCTAAAACTCTTGAAAATCATGAAATTTACACCAAAAAATAATGTTTATGTTAGAATGTTAGATCTAACCTCATTTCTAACATTTTTTCTAACATGGTCTAAAACTCTTGAAAATCATGAAATTTACACCAAAAAATAATGTTTATGTTAGAATGTTAGATCTAACCTCATTTCTAACCTCATTTCTAACATGGTCTAAAACTCTCGAAAATCATGAAATTTACACCAAAAAATAATGTTTATGTTAGAATGTTAGATCTAACCTCATTTCTAACCTCATTTCTAACATGGTCTAAAACTCTCGAAAATCATGAAATTTTGACATTTCCTTAAGATAGAAAAAATAAAGTTAGTTTTATTTTATTTATTTTTTTTATTTTGTATAAAAGATATGATTTCAACAATCGGCACAACAACAATTCAAACAACAGCACCAAACTCGTTAGTTATGAATCCTACGTCAATGTTAGTAGAAATGAAAAGCTTCATTCCTTCTTCATATACTTTTGAAACAGAAATCCAGAAGATAAAGCAAGAACTTTTAACAAGTAATTTAGACTGTAGTGCGAAAGATGAAACAAATGAAGAATATCTTTATGAAATGCAGGACATTATTGACCATTTGCCTAAACTACCTGAAATCCAACAACAAAAACTCACTATTCCTGAATTCGACGAAATTGAAGTGAAACCAACTGACTCAGTAGAAATTAAGAAATTCATACGTAAAGTAAATTATGAATTCCTTGGTTTTCATTGCAACCATAAGGTTATGGACAAAGATTGCGATATGGTATATAAGAATGTTTCTGACATATATAAATCTGAAGAATTTAAGACATACGACAACTTTGTTTCATTAGTTGCAGAATGTGTATGGCAGATAAGAGATAAAGATAGAAGAGGCAAAGTATGGAACAAACAAATAAAACCAGCAGCTTTTGAGATGAAGAGAGCAATTGACGCTTTAGTTGTTTTAGCTGGTTTTATTTCAATGTATAACGCAAAAATGAACCCGCAATGTTCAAAATGTAAGGCAGCAATTAGGAAATATAACTACTCCGTCAAAGAGATAGAACGTATGAGAAACGACTATGCAGACTTAAAGAAAGAAGTAGAGAAACCAGCAGAAGATAAAATGGACATGTTGACATTTCTGAACAAAAACTATCCAACTGCTGACGATTTCCTATTATCTGACGTCAAGAAGAAGTATAAAGAAACCTTCGGCATTGTTAAAACATTCGATGTACTAAAAGAAGAAATAGAAGCTACAAAACTGTTTAAAGTCATGAACCATCGCAACATATACCATGTAAAACGCTTGTAAATAGTTATGTTAGAAAACGGGTGAAAAAATGGGTGAGATCTAACATGTTAACATAAACATTATTTTTGCTGAATTCAGCAACAAAATTCATGAGTTTTGTGTGTTTTAGACCATGTTAGAAAAGAGGTTAGAAAACGTGTTAGATCTCACCTCTTCACCTAAACATTATTTTTGCTGAATTCAGCAACAAAATTCATGAGTTTTGTGTGTTTTAGACCATGTTAGAAAAGAGGTTAGAAAACGTGTTAGATCTAACATGTTAACATAAACATTATTTTTTCTATCTTAAGGAAATTCACGAGAATTCATGAGTTTTGTGTGTTTTAGACCATGTTAGAAAAGTGGTTAGAAAACAGGTGAGATCTCACCTCTTCACCTAAACATTATTTTTGCTGAATTCAGCAACAAAATTCTGAGTAAAATGGCATATGGCTTGTGTCAAACCGTTGAGTTTTCACAAAATTCCAAAAATAACGTTTACCATGTAAAACGCTTATAAAATAACTGGGGTGAAAAATTAGGTGAAAAAACAGGTGAGATCTCACCTCTTCACATAAAATATATTTTTATTGAATTCAGCAACAAATTTCATGAATTTCCTCATATGCTTGCTTCCCTCGGAAAACCGAGAGAAGAGATTCCGTATGAAAATCGCAAGAATTTGGCTCCTGGTTTGAAAGGATATTATGTACATAGACTTCTTGTAAATGCTGTTGCAATGTGGGCTTCACCTAAAATATATTTTTGATGAAAAATGACCAAATTTCATGAATTTCCTTAAGATAGAAAAAATAAAGTTAGTTTTTTATAAAATATTTTTTTTATTTTGTATGTAAAGACAGATATGTCAACAACAGAGAACACAACAACAGTTATAGTCCATGAAGCTATAAATGAAGAATATGAGTGGGTTCAGTTTAACAAACAACTCCGTCTCATTCGTTCGGTCAAAGACGATATGTACCAAATGCAAAGTATTTTGACAGCATGTTTTGCTCCAGATACCAAACATACAGACGATTGGTTCAAAAACCAAAGCACACAAGAACTTTTGAGCGAAGCACAGCGAGACCGACTTTTTTCTGGGTCGCCTAAAACTCATGAAAATCGTAAAAATTTGCCAAATGGTTTGAGAGGATATTATGTACATAGACTTCTTGTAAATGCTGTTGCAATGTGGGCTTCACCTAAAATATATTTTTGATGAAAAATGACCAAATTTCATGAATTTCCTTAAGATAGAAAAAATAAAGTTAGTTTTTTATAAAATATTTTTTTTATTTTGTATGTAAAGACAGATATGTCAACAACAGAGAACACAACAACAGTTATAGTCCATGAAGCTATAAATGAAGAATATGAGTGGGTTCAGTTTAACAAACAACTCCGTCTCATTCGTTCGGTCAAAGACGATATGTACCAAATGCAAAGTATTTTGACAGCATGTTTTGCTCCAGATACCAAACATACAGACGATTGGTTCAAAAACCAAAGCACACAAGAACTTTTGAGCGAAGCACAGCGAGACCGACTTTTTTCTGGGTCGCCTAAAACTCATGAAAATCGTAAAAATTTGCCAAATGGTTTGAGAGGATATTATGTACATAGACTTCTTGTAAATGCTGTTGCAATGTGGGCTTCGCCTCGTTATGCTTGGTATATTTACAGACTTCTTGACGAAATTCATAGACAAGAACGTGAAGAGATGGAAAAGAAACTTCAAGCAAAAGATGAAGTCATTGAAGCAAAAGACAAAAGCATTCAGAAAAGAATACCACGTTCGGTACCAAAAGGTAAGGAAAAGAACTATAAGTATATGATTTATACTGAAGAGATGGAAAATGAAGAAGATAAAGATATGGTTATGTTGCATTTAGTCAGAAGAAACAACAAAAGCTTTTACGACCTTGCTAAGATTTACAAATCTGACAGAAATTGGTTCTATCGCGAAAACTTACCGATTTCAATGACACCAAATGAAGATGTGAAACAAATAGTTCAAGATACTTTACGGCAAACACACTATGATATGAAAGGTTGTACAATTCTTACCTTCAAAGAAGATTTGCCATTGTTAAAGGAAAAAATAACAGAGTATTTTGACAACTTCAAACAAGTAGAGTAAATTGCACTCTTTATTTTTACGCTTGACTTCAGATGGCTCAAGTAGCTCAATTAGGTAAATTGCCTCGTCAAATCCTTCTGGCATTCCGAGTCCTTCCATCCGACAGGAAAATATTTTCCCGACAACTGGAAAAATTTTTCATTCCGACAGGAAGAACTCTTCCAGTTGTCCGTCCGTAAACCATTCAAATTTTCGAAAATTGAGAACTTTTTGGTCGAACTTCAGAAAATGTTTTTCCTTCCGACAGAAAAAGTTTTTCCATCCGACAGGAAAAGTTTTTCCATCCGACAGGAAAAATTTTTCCTTCCGACAGGACACAAACGGATGACTGACGTTCCTCTTCCTGAATGCCTTCCAAAGCCAGAAGAACCGACAGCCCCAGCACCACAACAGACTTACTAAGACTAAACACTTAGATTTTTCAAGCTTGACTTTTTACAATTTGAACTTTGTTCGCGTAGATATGAATTCTGAAAGAAGTATGAGGGTCTTGTATGACTTTATACTTCTCCCATAGTTCATGTCTGTCAAACTTACCTGCCATGGACTCTTTCATAAGTTCCATGAAATCGTCTTCGGACAATCCGGGGAAAAGTATAATGTCAGTAAGTATTCTTTTAACATCCTTACTTAAACTCTTTGCTGTCTGTACACAAATGACAACTGAGATGTTAAAGTGTCTGAGCTTCTTAAGAATTCGACACATGTCTTGTTCTCTGTTCTTTAACAAAGGATGAGAAGCAAAGTCATCTAAGATAAGAAGACATCTGTGAGGGTAAGTCTTCCAATCGTAAGATTGCAATTTCTTCGAAATGTATTCTATCTCTTTCTGTTTGTTTCTGAAGTGTTTCTTCTCTAATATTCTCTGCATTTCCTCATTTGGGTCTTTAAACTTAGAATTGACATACTCATTTATAGCATTGTACTTCAAAACTCTTCTTTGGTACTTCTTTATCCAATCTAACAACTCAGAGTCTTTTATACATACTAACTTAGACTTTTTATAATATCTTTGAACGAATTGACGGTTTGGTCAAATTGACCAGAAGTACTACAAATAACAACTAACTCATAGAATGGGTTCTTCTCATCTAGTTCTTGTTGTTGTGCAGCCATTTTAAGATAAGTGAAAGTCTTACCCGACCCAGGTGGTGCAATTAGACCTGTTATACCATTCTGAGCAAATAGGAACTTGTCATGTATGGGTTTTATCTGAGCATTTTCCAACTTCCTCTTGTTCTTATTTAAAACATTCTCAAATTTTTTGTCAATGTCAGCAAACTTTTTTTCTAACATATTTTTAGAAAAATTAAAATTTTTATCTTTTAGGAAATGTCTAGCGATTTCGCTATCTATATTCGAGACAAGCTTTTCGACAGCAAAACATCTGTCGACCATAAAATCTTACATAGTGTAAACAAGAAAGGTGAATTTGTTCTAAAGTTCTGTTTCTGGGAATATGACAAGAACCATAAAACATTAAGCAGAGCAGTCTTAAAATTTGTCAATGACAGACTTGTTGACAGAGATGACGCCTCTTGGAAAGATGAAGTCCAACAAAACTTCTTAGAATGCAAAGAAGACACATGCGCTGTTCTTGAAGATGAAATAGAAAACAGAATAGATGAGCTATTAAAGGACAAAGAACTTTTACATAAATATGGTTGCGCCAAATTTGACATAACTCCACCAGAGAAGAAGAAGAAAGAAAAGAAAGTAGAAGAAGAGAAGAAAGAACCAGAGCCAGTTCCAGAGAAAAAGAAATTTGACATGTAAAAATAAAATTTTATTTTTAGAACATTTCTGGGTCAATGTCAATGTTCTCTTCCTCTTTAGGAGTAAACACTGGCTTAGACTCTAAAATCTTTTTACCCAATTTACCTTGAACTTCAACTATCTTAGACTCATAATATTCATAGTCGTCTGCTTTCTTTGGTTCATAAGGTATAACAAGTTTGTATGCTTTGCCTTCTTTAAGGTTTGAGAACCTTCTGTCAAAACTTTCTTTGACTGTTAACAAACCTTCTATGTCTAAGTCTTCAAATTTCGCACCATTTTTAGTCACAATAGCAAACTTAACTGGTTCGATGTTCCAAACTTTGCTGAATGAAGACTTTTCAAAATGGTAGAAGTAAACATTCAAATATGTGAATGGGTCTAGTTCTTCTTTAAGTCCTGACATGTACTTGTTTACTGAGATGAATTTCGTCATCTTTTCTATCGGATAAAAAAATATTTTTTTTTAAAATTTACTCAGAAAAATTTTTCTTTGTATATACACCATTCTGTACGTCTAAAAGACTTTTGACATTTGCCAAGAATGTTCGTTTAGAAGCTGTCATATAACCATATTCTTGACAATATTGTTTATACGAATCGTACAATGACCTTTCATCTAATGACACAAAGTCAGTTTCATCTATGAACAGTTCATATACACTCTTGTTTGCTTCTAACAATGTTTGTCTCTCTTCGGTATGTGGAATTTGTCTTGGATTGAACTTTGAAATATCTAATGTCATGAAATATGAGAACAAGTGGTTGTAAAAGTCGGATGTCAAAGTTTCTGCTAAGTCGTCAAAATATTCTGTATCTTGCATATGAGCTTCTGACGTTCTGACAACTACATATCTTCTGTCAGAACTTTCTAACTTCATCGGAACAGCATTGTTTGAAACCATAATGAAGTTTGCAACATTTTCACAAACTCTTTGGTCTTTATATTTTCTTTCAACAACTCCAACTTTGTCTGTTATAAGACTCTTCAAAGCATCTGAGTTCAAAACTTTTGTTGTATCTATACTTTGAAGTTCGTTACATACTATAAGTTTCATATTCTCTATTGAAGAGTTAAATTTACCGCAGATGTTTTCTAAGTTTGTCATATTCGGATTCGAATAACCTTCTAACAGTTTGCACAAGATATCTGTAAAGAATGTGTTCTTACCTGTTCCTTGTTTTCCAATTATAATGAGAGCAGTTTCATTTTTAGCACTTGGATGTTGTAAGATGTTTGCAAACCAACATAAGATATACTCATAAACCTTTTCGTTTCCATTGCATATAATTTCTTTGACATGGTCTAACCAAGCTTCTATAATATTTTCTTTCCATTCTACTTGTTCATATTTATATCCAGTGAAGATAGAATAGAAGTTTGGAGAAGGTGTATAAAACTTTATACCACGAACTGAAAAATCTTCTAACTTTGACAATAAGATATCCCAAGCATCTAACATCTTCATTCCAACTTGTACAACTTTTATTTTCTTAAGTTTCTGTCTACATTCTTGTTCAGACACTATTGTTGCTCTTGGTTTGTTAAAGACAACATCCCATTCTTTCATGACATAACATTCTGGGGCAGAGTCGACATAAATGACTAAACGTTTCAAATTCTCGACTGCTTTGTTATAGTCTCGAAATGGACACATATTTCTGAATGCTTGGAAGTCATAAAAATCTGAAACATCTATTCTGTACATTTTTATAAAAATAAAAAAATAATATTTTTTTATTCTTGACTTTGTTGTTCCATTTGTTGCATTTGTTGTTCTTGAGCTATTTGTTGTTGAAGTTGTTCTTGTAATACAATACTTTCACCAGTTGCATCTTCCAATTCGAAACTTTCTGCCGTCATTGACAAATACATAGGACATAAAAGTTTTACAGGAACAAAGTTTGCGTCAACTAATGTCAACGTTATACTTGCCAAAGTGTTTGAGTTCACTAAGGTTGAAAATTCTGCATTCGAATGAACAATAGGCAAACCAGCAGAGAAAGTATTGTTTATACGCATAAGTATCTTTTGGTCATAATAGTTTCTGTCGACATTCGAATAACACTTTGAACCTAAGTTTGAAACAATATATAAGATTGGTGTGCTTAATGTCAATGGAATAGACATTCCTTGTATGACACCTTTTCCTGTTATAGGAAACTGTTGGTAGTAAAAACCAGAAATAAGTTTTGTATTATAGCTCATATCGTTTATAGTAAACTCAGTCGGACATCCAAACATAATGAAACCTGCTCTAGTTGCAGCACATGTTACACCCGTACTTAAAGTATTAAATAAGTCAACAAAACCTGTTGGTGGTATATCTGAGTAAGTATCTTCAAAGGAGTATTTTTTACCATTCACAACAATAAAGTCTTCTGGTGTCAAAAGAGCAAAACAGGCTTTAGTCGTCATTGTGTTTAAGGTTAGTTTACAATATCGTCCTTGAGGACTTTGTAAGTTTGTTGTTATAGAATTATATGACTCAGGGTTTTTAGTCGTAATAGTATAAACCATTATGTCTTCTGCCATTTACTTAGCAAATAAACTTTAATGAAATGTTGTGGTCGTCAATATTTTTATAACGTCTGGGAAACTATACTTTAAGTTCAACGTTTCACCTCCTTTCATAACGTATATCTTGTCAATGACATTATATGAAACACCACAGCAACTAATGTCGGGTTCTATTTCTTTGATGTTTATATCGTCTGCCTCTGTCAAAAGTTTCAATAGTTCTTTCAAGACTTCATGAGGTGCAATGACATATGAGTTCACTTTTACAGGGTTGTGTTCGACCAAGTTTAACATTATACTTAAAGCTTGACAAATCTTCTCCTGAGTTTGAAGTTTGTCTTTCAGTTGTTGGTAGTCGTTTCGAATATCTGCAACAGAACTTAAGTCTCTGCTAACTTCAGGATATGTTGGTTGTTCTTTTACAGGAACAATTGTTATACCATCTTCGTCTTCGTATGGTTTCCCCACTTCAACATCTCTGTCTTTGACATTGACAATAACACTTTGACTGTTTGTTTGAGTTGGTGAATTTAACTTCACATCTGCCACCGCCATTAAACCTTTTGAAACACTTACGCTTTTATTTTTCGGAAATGACATTTTACTTAGAATAAAAAGATGGACGTATTCGGATATCTTATTGAATTGAAGCAGAACAAAGTTTATACTCACAAACAATACAAATACATTGACAGAATAGTTCTTTACACAAACAATGGAAAATGTTATAGAATAGCAGTCTTTGCTGAACCTAAATATTTTCATAAAGCAAAGAAAGTTGGTATAACTGAAATGGTGAAAGTTCTTGAAGCAGACAAAAATATAACTTCAAAACTGACCGATATTACTAAAGGAAAGTTTATAATACAATATTATGTCAAAACTGGCGTACTGTCAATATTTGACGGAGAGAAGTCAGTTCAAGAACAACTTACTGACCTGCTGCCAAAATCTGCTCGATGGAAGCTGTCGTTATGCCAATCTGAGGAGCTCCAGCAGGTTTCATCGAACGAATCTTCAAAAGAGCATCTTCCGTGAAAAGTGCTATTGGTTTTGTAAACTTCTTTGCTCTCAATTCATCTGGACCGTCTCTGTCACCAGTATA